TAGAATAGCTTTCAGCTCTGTTAGGCGTAAACAGTTTGACATGCACGCAAGCACGGTTTGATGAGCATGTAAACAAAACCATTGATTGTGGAGCACAGAGAGAAGGGGTAGCATGTGTACGTGCGTATGCGTATGTGTGTATATATATGTGTGTGTGCGTGTCTGTATGTGTGTTGCTTGTGTGATGTAAACGCGACAGTTGTTTAATTTAAATATTTGCCTTGACATTTAAAAGCTTTGGTTTTGAGCTTTAGTTAATAAAACAAAGACATATTCTTGTTTTTTTTTTTTGTTCGTGGCGCATGCTAAAACACACACACACACACACAGAGGAGCACATTGAAACAAGCAAAGGAGATGAAAGAAGAATGGATAACGGAGATGGGAGGCGGGATTACACAGCGCAACGCAATGACTCTCAAAACTTACTTATAATTCAGGTTGTACAAATTGTTATTGTACTGCAGTTGTTGTTGTTGCTGTTGCTGCTGCTGATGGTGTTGCTGCTGCTGGTGTTGTTGTTGTTGCTGTTGTGCCATAACGCGCGCTTAATACAAATATTTTTTTAATTAGTTTCGCCGGCAACGCGCACACAAACAAGCAAAACATAAACACACACACACACACCCACACACAAGCAAACGCACGAAGGCAACGAAAAACGATTAAGGAAAAAAATTAATGTTACGTGTGAGTGTGTGTGCGTGCGTGTGTTGGACTAAACAGACAGTGTTTGTAAAAGTTTGTCGCGCTCGCTCTCTCGCTCTTTTTATCTCTTCCAAAAACGCTCTCTTTGCTTTGACGCGCTTATGTTATTGTTGCGATTCTGCTACTCTGTCGGCAGCAGCGGCGTCGCAGCGCTTTGTATTGTTTGTTGTCGCTTTCTTCGATTTCTGGCTGCGCTTTACTCTTTGTCGCTGTGGTTGTTGTTGCTGCCGCTGTGTGTGGCCGCAACATTTTCGCTGTCATTTGCTGCTGCTATTGCTCTGCTTGTCGATGTCTATCCCTCTCTCTCTCTCTCTCTTTCTCTCTATTTCCTTTAGGCACTTGCCATGTAAAGTTTTGGAAGCACTGCGAGCGTCTTTTTGTTTTGTATTTAGTTCGTTGCGTTTTAATTAACAACAAAAATTATGTACGAATTATGCGAGTAGTTATTATTGTTGTTGTTGTTTTTTTTCTTTTAGCAGCCTTTTCAGTTTAAATGCCGATTTCATTTGTTCTTGTTGTTATTTTGATTAACTAGGAGTCTTTACATTGCTTTGTGTTTTGTGTGTGTTTGTGTAAGTTGTGTGACAAAATGTAATGTTGTAGTACCTGTAAAGAGAAAAAGAAATTCAAAATTAATAAAACTGCATTCATATATCAAGCTTACTAACTAAAAATAGACAAACAATTTAAGACTTAGCCAAATGCAGGCAATCCCCAATGCAGCCCCACACACACTTTTGAAATTAGCAGAGAATAGCAAGCACACGAGAGACAAGGATAGAACATGCATCGTTACTTCTCATTATTGAAGAAGAGCGAGCTGCTACCCGCGCTCAGCCACACACACACACATACACACATATGCACACGTGCGGGGATTATAGAGCTTTACGTTGCCTTCACTCATCTCTTTCCGCTCTTCGCTCAACCACTAGCAACAGCAACAACAACAACAACAAAATGGCGTCAGACTAGCGACTGAAAGTGTGATGCTTAAATTCACTTAGCTTGCCAAAAACTGAGCAGCAGAGCGAGCGAGACGGATGCCAAAGCAACGGTTTTTAGAAAATAGCTTAAGCTCTGCTTTAATGCAGCAGCTGCTGATGCATCCAAGAGAGAGCAACAGAGAGTAAGAGAGTGAATTCAATTAGTGATAATGGAACTTTAAAAATAGAGCCCGCATATATTTTGGGGCTATTATGCCTTTAAGTGCATGTAAAATGTAAATTTCACAACAATAAGACGAGTTTATATTGTAACAATTTTTGTAATATGTAAATGAGATTTTTCTTTAACTTTGTGCAACCAAAAGTCAACAGAGAATTACGAAATAGATTTAAGAGCAATTGCTGCAGCTTTAGTTTAAATGACCGCACATTAAAGCCAAATCTCTTCCACTGTGTGCGAAAGAGAGCGCAACACAAGCCAACACAGACAGCAACAAAATATAAATTAAAGGACAGCAAAAACTTTGTCAAGCCGTTTGCTCAACTCTGTCTATCTGTCTGTCTGTCTGTCCATTTGTCCGTCTGTCTGGTTGCTCTGTGGCTGACTTCTTCATTCATTTTTCTAGTGCGCATAAACTATTTGTTCGCACTGTGTCCATACGGCATGGCCAGAGAAATAAAATAATTAAATGCCCGTCCTAGCTGGATTTGGACTCTGTTTTTGGCTCCAGTTGAGATGCTAACAAAATTTATAAGACAAATAAATTTTAACAGCAGCAAAAGCATAAAAACCCACAGCAGATTTGTGGCTCTACCCCAATACTCCCTTGCATGGCCCTCTCCCTCACGATGTTCAGTGTCTCGTGTCTCTCCATTTCTTTGGGCAACTGTAAAAGGGTCAACATTGTGCGTCTGATGTCCTGTTTTTGACTGTCCTGTGACCAGAAAATTAATTTAACTGACACGTTTTTCATTCCGTACACGCACATACATACATACACACATACATATTGTGTATGTATATAAAGTACTTTTTCTCATAAATAAAATTCTATTGCATAAGCCAAGGCGCCGGGCAACAGGACGAAATTTTGCTATGCAATATGAAACTTTTGAACCCAACCAGCTGCGCTTAGCATTTGAGTAATTAAATATTAATAATGATATAGAGTGGGAAAACGTGTTCCCCAAAACTCTATTCAGCTGCTACAAATAGTTAATCAACTCGTGATTAGTATAAAAAAAAACTTATGGTTTAAAAAGTTTTGTAGTCTGTTTTGTAGCTAAATGAAATGGAACGAGTGGAAGTGACACATCAAAAACATGTGACACTATGTTTCCTATTACCTCAGAGACCTACAAACCTAATTTAAACAGGGAGTAGGGGGTTAGCGCCTAGAGTGTGGAATGGAATTTTGGATATTATAATTAAAGCA